GGGAATTTGTGGCTGGTTCTTTGGGATTGGAAGAACCCATTTGGGATAGGTGAGATTGGGCTCTACAACCCCTCACTTGTGTGCAGGCCTGGGGCTGATTGTGACACAGGGAGAGCTGGGATACCTGAGGGCTGTGTCTACACTGGCCACTTATTCCGGAAAATCAGCCGCTTTTCCAGAATAACTTGCCAGCTGTCTACACTGGCCCCTTGAATTTCCAGAAAAGCACTGACGATTTACTGTAAGAAATCAGCTGCTTTTCCAGAAAAACTATGTTGCTCCCGTTTGGGCAAAAGTCCTTTTTCCGGAAAACTGTTCCAGAAAAGGGACAGTGTAGACAGCACAATAGTGTTTTCCGCAAAAAAGCCCCGATCACGAAAATTACGATCAGGGCTTTTTTGCGGAAAAGCGCGTCTACATTGGCATGGACGCTTTTCCAGAAAAAGTGTTTTTCCGGAAAAGCATCCTGCCAATGTAGACACACTTTTTCCGGAAATACTTATAATGGAAAACTGTTCCGTTTTAAGCATTTCCGGAAAACATGCCAGTGTAGACGTAGCCGAGGAGTTTTGGTTGTGAGGCTTCTGGCTGGCCTGGTAGGCAGCTGAAGCGCTCGGTGTGACTGGTGTGTGGCCTATTTGGGAAAGGTAGCCAGTCTGGGGCTATAAGGAGCCCTGGATTTGAGCAATCCGCCCTGAGTGGATGCTCTCAGCGGTCCCCGGACCTAGCCCGGTCCATCACACAGCGCCTTTAATCCATTATGCTGGTGTGAAAAGAAATAGCCAATACAATGAATTGATGTTCTAGGACCGGTTTTGTTCAATATCTTTATTAATGACCTGGATGAGGGGATGGATTGCACCCTCAGCAAGTTTGCCGATGACACTAAGCTGGGGGGAGAGGTAGATACGCTTAAGGGCAGAGATAGGGTACAGAATGACTTAGACAAATTGGAGGATTGGGCCACAAGAAATCTGATGAGGTTCAACAAGGACAAGTGTAGAGTCCTGCACTTGGGACGGAAGAATCCCAAGCATAGTTACAAGCTGGGGACCAACCAGTTAAGTAGTAGTTCTGCAGAAAAGGACCTGGGGCTTACAGTGGATGAGAAGCTGGATATGAGTCAACAGTGTGCCCTTGTAGCCAAGAAGGCTAATGACATATTAGGTTGCATTAAGAGGAGCATTGCCAGAGATGTCATCATTCCCCTTTATTCGGCTTTGGTGAGGCCGCATCTGGAGTATTGTGTCCAGTTCTGGGCCCCCCACTACAAAAAGGATGTGGACACATTGGAGGGTCCAGCGGAGGGCAACCAAAATGATTAGGGGGCTGGAGCATATGACTTATGAGGAGAGGCTGAGGGACTTGGGTCTGTTTAGTCTGCAGAAGCGAAGAGTGAGGGGGGATTTGATAGCAGCCTTCAACTTCCTGAAGGGAGGTTCCAAAGAGGATGGAGAAAGGCTGTTCTCAATAGTGACAGATGGCAGAACAAGGAGTGATGGTCTCAAGTTGTGGTGGGAGAGGTCCAGGTTGGATATTAGGAAAAACTATTTTACGAGGCGAGAGGTGAAGCACTGGAATGGGTTACCTAGGGAAGTAGTGGAGTCTCCATCCCTAGTGGTGTTTAAGTCTCGGCTTGACAAAGCCCTGGCCGGGTTGATTTAGTTGGGATTGGTCCTGCCTAGAGCAGGGGGCTGGACTTGATGACCTTCTGAGGTCTCTTCCAGTTCTATGATTCTATGATGACCTCCCTTTAGTGTGGATAAGGAGGCCAGACCGCCCCAAGGGAGACTCCCAGTAGTGCAGACCATGGCGGGGAAAAGGTCTCTGAGAATCTAAGACTAGGGCCCTACCAAATTCACAGGCTAGGCAGGGATGGGAGTTGCATAGCTGCTCGTGGTAGGGAGACTGGAGTGCCCCTGAGAGGCAGGATAGAAATGAGGGTGGAACCCAGTGTAGCCCTGCCCTGGAGGCACCCAATATCCACATGGTCCCATTTTGGGTCAGAACTCACGTGGCTAGAAGATGGTGAAATTTCCCATGTCAACATCTGAAACTGTGGAAGGAAGCAATTTGAAAACTTCTGACTGTGGAATAGATGGGGAGGCAGGTGAATTTGGTAGGGCCCAATCTATGAGCTTAGCAGTGGAAGTTATGGGAAACGGTCTGCCAGAAACCTTCGTCCACATGGTCCCATTTTGGGTCAGAACTCACGTGGCTAGAAGATGGTGAAATTTCCCATGTCAACATCTGAAACTGTGGAAGGAAGCAATTTGAAAACTTCTGACTGTGGAATAGATGGGGAGGCAGGTGAATTTGGTAGGGCCCAATCTATGAGCTTAGCAGTGGAAGTTATGGGAAACGGTCTGCCAGAAACCTTCGGCTGTGTTGGACCTCAGGGTCATGGGGGAATCTCCAAGAGCAGCCTTTCTCCACCTGGGGCCCCCAACCCAAAAGGGGGTTGCAGGACCAGTGTAGGGGGTTGTGAATAGGGTCACTGGCTGTCTGGGCTTTCCCTGACATGACCTCTTCTTTGGTCCTCAGATCTTCCCCTGGGCAAATTTTGGAAGTATTAAAACACATCTCAGATTTTCCTTTGCCTTCTGAGCTGGGTGTCTGGAGACCTGCCGCCACTGTCTGAGCACCCAGCTCAGAGGCAGCACCACCATCAGGAGCAGTGCAGAAGGGAGGGGGGCCATGGGATGGTCTTGCCTCCCTTCCCTCTGCACTGCTGAGGGTGACAGGGCTGCCTTTGGATCTGGGCAGCAGCAGAACAATGTCCATTGGCAGTGCCCCCACACCAATGACCATGGTTAGGCGTAACCTAGTGACTCTCAAGGCCTGGGGCTGGTGCCTGGCTCCCTGCAAACTGATGGGTGAAGGCCAGGGCTAGAAAAGGGACTTGCAGATGTGGGGAATGGAGAAGACCCGGGTTCAAGTCCCACCCTCCAGCTGACAAGAATTTGACCCAGGATCTGCTCCTCTCTAATAAGTGCTCTGCCAAATGAATGGCGGGAGAGCTTCCCCCACTGCGTGAACTCACCTACAGGTGTGTGTGCTCTGCCAAATGAATGGCGGGAGAGCATGACAGAGGCTTTTACAGTCTCTCCCCTAGAAACTGGTCCCAGCTCAATAATGAAAATCATTGGTGCAGGAGAGCGGGATGCTGGGGTTTCCCCCTCTGTGTGAACTCACCTACAGGTGTTCAATGGGGCTGCCCAGCTGAGCAAGTTCACCAGACCCCTATCCTCCCTTCTCCACTGCACTGAGCCTCACAGCTCTCTGAGGCAGGGCCATGCCATGCCCTCACAGTACCACTGGCAATCGCAGGCACTGAGAGTCCAACAGGAACTGACCCTAGCTCACACTGGGCAGAGCCATCACCTGAATCTAAGGCCAGCCCTCCCCTCCGGTGCCAGTCAGGCACAGGCAGCAAACCCTTGTTCTGTGCCATGACACAACCAGAGGTAGGCTCTCCGCCTGGCTCAGGATGCTCAAAGGTGCCACCAGCCTTCTCTCAGATTGGGGCAGCATCCCATTCTCAACCAGTGTCATAACCCGGAGTACTGATCAGCACCTGGTGACTAAGGGACCAAGCTGTCAGGCAGTCAGTCAATAACACCACAGGTAGAAATTTCAAACTGGAAAAGAGGGGTTCTCTCTCTCTTCTTTGTTTGCGATCAGAGCAGTTTCTCTGAGCTATTAAGGGAGATGGGAGTCACTTCTCTCTCCAAGAACAGACTTCTTGAAATGTGTAAGCAGGGAAAAGTTTAGCTAGCCCATCAGGGCTTATTGTTTTCCCTCTTTGGGGGTTTGGAAATCATGTCTGAGCTGGCTAATTGTTTTTATTTTTTGTAACTAAGGATTACAGCCCAGGGACTTTCCCTGAATATCCATAGCAAACTGTGACTCTTTCCATCCAGCCCCTCTACTATGCTTGCAAGACTAGTTTTGTTTTGATAATAAAAGATTGAGGGGTTTCTTATTAACCGGTATTGGTTAATTGTTGTCTCCTTAGGACACAGTGCCTAGTTACAAGGGCAGAGTCTATAGTTGCCTGCGGATTCCGTTTTTCCCAACTCCAAGCAAAACAGAGATTGGGCAGGGGGGAGTTTCACATTAGGAAGGGGAATTCCCACATGATCTCTTCCCTGATTTTCTTGGGATTACTTGGGTGGTAGCAGTGTCCCCAAAGATCTGCATATTAGGATTTTGTGGGGGGGGAGTTTTTGTACCAGAGCCCATAGAGGCAAGGTTTTGGAGTGCTCTCCAGAGTGGGGAACAGCTTAACACATGGCAACCCCAGGCCTACCATTGCTCCCAGCCATGCCGATGAAGCCCGTCTGGCCTAGCTCTGTGGCCTGACTTTTGTTACCAGGGTGGGGGAGTCTCCAGGCCCTGCACCCCCACTTGCAGCCAGAGGGGACTCTCAGCTGGCAGGGAGTGCAGAAGGTTTATTAGTTCACAAGGACACGGCCCAGAGCAGACTTCTCAGCACAGGAACAGCCCAGCTTGGAGTGAGGGGGCCAAACTGCTCCACTCCCAGCAGCCAGATCCCCCCCAAGCTCCTCCTGTCTTTGTCCTGCTTCCTGGGCAACAGGTAGCACCTGGTGGCATCACTCCAGGTACAATGGGCATCAGTGGGGCTCCCCGTGGCTGGCTGGGCCCCCGCAGCACTTCCATGGCACACGGAGGCTTTCCAGCTCCATAGGCAGGCACTCTGGTGCTGTGATGGCTAGGAGGGTTGCTGTCCAGCATTCAGTGACTAAAGGGTTAAAACTCAGGTACTAGGGGGTGTTAGCAGGAGCCCAGAGAACCAGGGGGAGGAGGTATTGAGATCTGAATTGGAAGAGATACGCGCCTGCTGTTTTCATTGTGTGAGTTTCCAAGAGCTAGGGGAACAAGATGAATTGATCAGGCAGAGCTACCATGCCTACAAAGAATATGGGGCATGGAAACAGACTGGACCTAGAAGCAGAGATGGGAGTAGACACGGAATGTCTATTTAGACACAATCAGGTTATTTTCTTTGTTTGGTTCAATGTCCCCGGGCCAGCTCCACATTTCTCTGTTTATAAATTGCTCTTTTCTCAGTTGCTCAAACACCTAGCAGCCAAGTCTGCTTCACCACAGCTACCTTTCTATTTCGTTAATAAAATCACCTTTTCTAAGGTCATGATTTGATTCTTGGGCCCTGTAAGGTAACAGGAGGTCTGTGTGCACCTGCCTGAGACAGAGGTCAGCTAGCTGAGCGTGTCATTCTCCTTTTTTCCCCCAAGCTCTCATGTGGTGAAAACGCTTGGGGGTGGCCCCTATGCAGAAGTCCAAGTGCCTTCTTCCTGGGGTCAAAAAGAAAGGGGATTTCACTTGGTGATGGGCAACTAACCCCCTGCCCTAGTGCTGGCCCCACCCTAGACGTTCTGGGCCAAGGAGTCTTCACCTCCCTGAGTGACAGTTCCAGCCGCCTAGTGTCCTACCACTTAGCTGCCAGGCCCAGGCAGATGAAATGATTGAGGAAGTGGCTGAAGTTGACCTAGCTGAGCTCCAGCAACCGGGGATTGTCCTACCCCGCAGCAAGGCTGCTGAGAACAAAGATGGGGCTAGGAGTTAGGCCCAGATCTCTCAGAGGGAGCTGCTGAAGGAAGGGAGGTAGATGCGCCCCAGAACTGGGGTTCCCTACAGTGTGGACAGCCTCTAATCCTGTGCCCTGGGGCTGCCTGGGCCATGCCACAGATAAACCTGCCTGCGCTGGCTGGTGCCCACGGGCGGGGGGGAAGAGAAGGGAGTACTGCTCCCCACGATGGTACAAGTCTCCCTTGGGTTCTGTCCCAGCTGGGCTCTTTGCCTGGAGCTCATGGAGGGGGAGAGAAGCACAGGGCTGGCAGGAGAGAGGCCCAGTCTCATCGCTCACCCCAGGGGAAGAGTGAGAACCAGGGGTCCAGCCCACTGACGGGCCCCTGCCAGAGCCTGTGCCCAGGCAGGGGTGTAGCCCCAGGCTCATAACTTGGGGAACAGGGGGTCAGAGCTGGAAGCCTCCAGTGCACCAGGGACCTTGCAGGCCAGCAGCCATGAGATGTGCACGCAGGGAGCTGGCCCCAGGCAGAGGCTCCATGTGGGGTGTGATGTGTAGCCCCCCAGAGCTCGCTGCAGGACTTGCCTTGTGGTGGACCCTGGAGTGGGGCCAGGCAAGGCCTAGGGCTGGGGAGTTGGGTCTCCCTTGCTGGTGGAGAATAATGGGACGCAGGCAGCCAGACTGTTCCAGGGCGCTACCCCCCCGTCTCTCGGAGCCCCTTGGCAGTGGTGCCCAGGGAGCTGGGCCGTGGCAGCACAGTGAGTTCAGTAGCTGGGCAAGCCCTAGGAAAGGGCCCCCATCCAGTCTCCAGGCTGCACCCTTCTCCCCACAGTCCAGGAGAGGTCAGGAGGACTTGGCTTTCCGGCGCTGGGTGCCCCAGGCCAGCAGGGCCAGGCTGGTGGTCACAGCCCCCAGGGTCCCATAGAAGAGCAGCATGGGGAAGGCGCCCTGCAAAGTGAAGCCGGCAGGTGAGAAGCAGGGGATGTCTGTGAGTCTGACCCCACCCCTCGGCTCCAGGGAGCCTGCAGCCACCCCCTGCAGCCCAGCACTGCTGCCCCAGGCCTGGGAGGCACCCCAGAAAGGAGGTACCACAGCCTTGCACTGTAGCTTGCGCCATGCTCACTTGGATCCTGGCACACCAGCCAGAAGCAGCCACCACGGCCAGTGTTCCCCAGGCAGGCAGGAGAGGCCTGAGCCCCCGGCTGTGAGGATGACCTCAGGGAGAGCCAGAGGCTCCTGCAGAGGCCTGTGCTGAGCCCAGCCCCTACCCCGCCCCATGGCCAAGCACCCGGCTCACCTCGCGCAGACACTTGTAGCCGTGGGAGCTGCCGGCGCACAGGCACTGGAAGAGGCCGGGCCCGTCCGGGGCGCACAGGGAGCTCTCTGGGCACAGACAGGCTGGGAGGGCCAGACATGAGTCAGGATTGGAAGTGGGGCTGGGCTGAGGCCCTCCAGCTGCAGTGTCGGACAGCCGGGGGGACCCTGCTCCTGCCTGCCCAGCAGCCTGCCTAGGAGGGAGAACAGGCCCATCGGGGTTGCCGCAGCAGCCCCAGGCCCAGGCTGGAAGGTGGGGGGAGTGGGTATGATGGAAGCCCCAGGGTGGTGGCTGGGGTGACACTAGAACTAGGGCAGCAGGAGCCCAGGAGGGTCAGCAGGAGCCAGGGCAGCATGGCTTTCCCTTGCATGTTGTGTTGCACATAGTGGGAGGGGAGATGGAGGGACACCTGCCTGGGATCCTACCCCTGTGCCTCCCAGTGGCCCTGCCATGGGCTCTTCTCAGCCTGGGGCAGGGGTCATCACAGAGCCCCTCCCCCCAGCATCTTCCCAACCCCTCCGTACTGTACCGAGCTCCCCCGAGCTGTTGCAGGGGTTCCTCTGACATGGTGACGGTGTCCCAGGCCATGCTCCCTCCAGGGCACTCCAGGGGCAGCGGCAGGGATCTGGCCAAGAGGGAGTCAGAGCTGGGTAGGGCCAGCCAAGGGCTCACATGCTGCCCCACACTGGAGAGCCCCTCAACCCCCAGGAGGCAAGTCCCACAAGGAACCTCAGGTGTCCAGGGGAGAGATCTGCCCCTCACATGCAGGGTCGCCCCAGTGTCCCCACTGAGCCATCCTCCCCCCCCGGCTGCAGGCCGGCCCAGCACTCACATGCTCTGCAGCCTGGTGAAGCCCCGGAAGGTGGTGTTGGGGATGCTCTCCTGCAGCGGATTCTCCGTCAGGTCGCTGCAAACAGACAGACCTGGTGGTATTAACCCCCCGACCCCCACTGCACCAGGGCCTGCCCAGCGCCCTTCCCCCGCCTGGCACCAGCACATCCCCTCCCCCCATCGCCAGGCTCCAGGATGCTGCTCCCGACCCCTTGGGCCAGGCTCCGCCCTGCCTGGGCCTGTCCCAGCACAATGGGTCCCTCTGGGCTCAGGGGTGCAGCTGTGACAAGGGCTGGGCAAGCAGAGGTTCCCCCCAGTAGTCCACTGCCCTCAGGAGACCGACAGAATTGCCAGGGCCCTGGGCAAGGCGTGTGGGGGTGCCTGGCTCCGCACCCCCACAAAGAGCAGGGCCTGAGGCGGAAGGGGCAGGGCAGGGGTGTTGCCTCCCCCAG